AACTAATTAACAACAAGAAATAAACTATGTACAGGTAACTGGTGAAATTTAAAAAAAAAACAAAAAAAACAATTGAGTTCTAGCAGGGATGGAGTTTGACACATTACTTCTCCCGAACTCTGTATTGCCTATTGGCTAGGTAGCGAGTGAAATAAATAAAATTAAGGTTTTTATTTTGTAGCAACAGAATTATTAGAAATCAGTCATTATTCTACTAATGGTTGTGTAAAGGAAAACTAAGCAGAGAACTAAAGACAGTTTACTTGGAATAGTTAGTTGTATCGACCACCTGTAAACACCTTGGCCTAAAACTATATTACAACCCAAGACCATTGGGGTTGCTTGGACCAGAACCAAATGGGGCTGCAGCCTGGCAAAATTAACTGAATTATTTCTAAATGACCTGGCCTCAAATGGTATTTTGGTAAAGGATTAGGGTGATTTATATGTTGTTTTTTTTATATTATGTCTATATTTATATATGTTTGTTTCAGTGGTTTAGGGTCAAGAAATTATTGTACTCGTGTATTCCTTGATGTTATTCAAGCTTTTGATATCGTGTACTAACTATTTGATATAACTTCTTAATTTAATCTTACACTATAAATATATAAAATTGTAAATTTTACGGCTTTGAAGTAACATTTACGTTTTCTAAAGAAATGAGTGAATATTTGTAGAAAGTAATAATAATAATAATAAGGCTTAGCGAACCCGAAGGTTCGATGCCGACACCACCAATCGCTTGTTACACACCTCCCTCCACCGTTCGCCGTCCAAACCCAGTCCCTTCAGATCGGCTTTAATGCAATCTTCCCACCTTCGCTTCGGTCTACCCCTCGGACGCTTACCATTCGGCACAGCAAATATTAACCTTTTAGGAATTCTCTCGTTACTAAGCCCAACAACTTTACAAGCCCATTTGATTCGCCGCGATGAAATTACATCAATTATATTGCCCGGATACAGCTCACGCAATTCGGCGTTGTGTAACCGTCTGAACTCCCCGGTTAACTCATCCTTCTTCGGTCCGAATATTCTACGCAATACTTTATTTTCAAAAACCTTAAGATGCTGCTCATCCCTTAATGTAAGCGGCCAAGTTTCGCATCCATAAAGAACTGTAGGCAAGATAATTGTTTTATAGATTCTAATTTTTAAGTTCCGGGACAAGAGGCGCGAACTAAGTAGTTTTGTCACAGAAAAATAACAAGCATTTCCCGCCTTCAGTCTAACCTTAATCTCTTCTTCAATTTCGTTTTTTCTAGTTATCGTTGAACCTAGATACCTAAATTTATCTACCTGTTCAAACATATTACCATCTATATCGATGTCACCAGTAGTATCGCCATTTTTGCAGCTAACCATATATTTTGTTTTATCCACGTTTATTTCGAGTCCTAGTTCTTTACCGGCTTTCATTAACGTTGTCGTATTTAGTTTTATAGTTTCAACGTCTTCGCTTAACAGTACCAGATCATCAGCATAGCCCAGCACGGATGTTGTCCCGCCCAGATCCAACCCTTTCTCGGTTCGCATTACCTCCCTAATGGCATGTTCTAATGCCAAATTGAACAGGACAGGCGAAAGAGAATCCCCCTGTTTTAAGCCCGAACGAACCTCAAATTTTTCGGACAAATTATTACCGATTCTAACTTTATTGAGTGTCTCCGTCAAGCACATCCTGACTAGATTTACTAGTTTTTTTGGAATCCCCTGCTCGATTAGAATATTATACAGTTTCTGGCGGTCAATAGAATCGTAAGCCTTTTTAAAATCTATATACAGCTGGTGAACAATACCGTTATACTCCAATTTTTTCTCTAATATTTGCCGTAAAGAAAATATTTGATCAATTGTCGAACGATTCCGTCTAAATCCGCATTGGTAGTCTCCGATAATTTCCTCGGCGTATTCCGTGATTCGACTGGTTAAGATTGAAGTGAATATTTTATAACATACCGGAAGGAGTGAAATTCCTCGATAGTTATTACAATCCGTCCTCGGACCCTTTTTGTGAATCGGAATAAGAATAGATTCTTTCCATTCTTCAGGTAATTTCTCGTTCACCCAGATCTTTTTAACCAACCGATGTATTTTAGAAACTCCAGCTTCCCCGCTTGCCTTAATTAGTTCAGTAGGAATATTATCGATTCCCGCTGCTTTATATGATTTTAATTTTCCGATAGCTATTTCAACTTCCTCTTTACTTGGTCCTTCTATTAACGGTTCAGCACTCTGGTACTCAGAAGGAGGACACAGATCATAATTTCCCGTATTTAAAATATTGTCAAAGTGGTCCTTAAACTTATTCAATATGTCAACCGGATCGGTCAGAATATTGTTATTATCATCCCTAATTCCAGACGTTACGGGCCCTACATATTTACGTGATCTGTTTATACCTTTGTACATGTCTCTTACGTTATTTTCAATTCTATTAGTTTCTATTTCAATTATTTTATTTTTAAGATACTCCCTTTTTTTATTTTTGAGCAATTTTGTCGTTTCGTTCTTTGAGATTCGGAAGTATTCCAGATTGTCTTCACTAGGATTATTTAGAGCTTTTAATTTAGCGGCTTTTCTTTTTTCACACATGTTTAAGCAATCTTCATCAAACCACGGTTTGTTGTTCTTATTTTCCTTTTTTCCTAGACACGAGTTTCCGACCGCTTTAATATTATCCCTGATCTCTACCCATAACTTGTCAATATCCTCGTGGTCCTCGTCAGGAAGCTCTAAAGCTTCAAACCTATTCTTAACATCTAGCTCGAATTGGTTTCTAATTGATGGATTTTTTAATTTTTCCAAATTAAAATTCTCAAAATCGAAACGGTTTTCTTTTCTCTTTTTTATATTAAGTTTTTGTCGAAGTTTCGCGATTACTAATTCATGATCCGACCCACATTCTGCTCCGCGATAAGACCGTACATTAATATATATATATATTATTATTATTTGGCGCGAAACAGCCCTACTAGGACTACGCGACTATGATACTGGTTTCTTTTTCAATTTCTTCCTTTCTGCCCATCTCTGCTTGAGGATATCGCTAAATTTTTTCTTTCTCTTCTTTGTTCACTTCCTCCTGGACGGAAGTTCCTTACTGTCCACCACATGCACCGCTCTTTTCAGGAATTTCTTGTATGCTGTCCTATCCTCTCATAATTCCCGTGTTATCCCAAGCCTCTGTATTTCCAGTATTATTTGTACCTTATATCCATGGGTAAACTTGTATCCCATAACCCTACTGAAAATCTTCTTGTTTAACCTCTCCTCGGTCATGCTTTGCATGTGTCCATAAAACCTAAGTCTTCTTAGCCTCATTTCCGTTTCCAAATCAGAGGTTTCACTGTAAATCTCCTTATTGAATTTCAGTCTGTATCCTTGTGGTGTTATTTTGGGCCCATTGATTCTTCTAAGAATCTTTCTTTCTATTATATATATTTCTTCATCACTCAAATCATAGTTGATTGCACTTGGACTATTGAATTTCTTTCGATTCGTCTGGATTGCAGAATTTGTGTGTTTCACTATATATTATCAATTGGGCTAAAAATGTGCGCTTCGACTTCTGTTGTTAACACGTCATCAACTAATGTTGTTGATCTTCCTGATCGATACGAGTTGGATCAAAATTACCGGATTTGAACTTGAAAAACCACCTTTGACATTTACAAACATCTAAAGTATTTTGTAAAACATCGCAAATAATTTTGCTACCAACTGTTGCGTTATTATCCTTACGAAACTCAAAAAGCATGCAATGCCGGATATTTGCCTCTTCTGGTATTTGGCTGCCATATTCACCAAAATTGGTAGAAAAAAATTTAAATTTAATAATTTGCAACAGAAGAAGTCACTTAAACCTTAAAATGTCTTTGCCACGATATATATGTACACAATGACCTGCTACATGACAATCAAATAGTGACATGCTCAGAAAAGATTACTTTTCTACGTTCCTAATATTCCAACTCTGTTCCTACATGATAATTCCATCAAATTCTATCAAAAACCTCCATCAAAACCTTGCAATGATCTTTGATCAAACGCTTTCCTTGAAAAGTCATATATCCAATATCTCCAGCCACACTATTTCCACATTTCTAAATTATTCCCGTCACTTATTTCCCCTTGAAACCTGTAGGCTCCTAGTATCTTCCTTAATTTTTTCCCACTTTCACTATTGCTGTACGGCATATGAGGGCGTCTCTGGAGATCCCGAGGCGAAATTAAAACGTTTGATAAATTGCTTTGTACGACTCATCTTCGGGATCTCAAGAGACGCCTCTGTTTCCCGTTTTTTATGTAGAGTTGAAGTGACTTTATCCTTCCTACCGTCGGAAGTATTTCCTGGCATCCTTCCTCTTTCAATTCATCCAATCCCACCGTCCTTCATACATCTCCGAGCTCCTTCAATTCAAATCCTCTGTTCGCTCCAGCAATACTCGTTCCCGGTCTTCTGATTTATACATAAGGACCCACCGAACCGCTGCTTTCGACAGATCGTTCATCATCCGATCCTCATCCCTATGGAACTCCATCCCTCTCCAAATCCGTCAATCCAAAACCCTTCCTATCTTTAAATCCCGCCTGTTCAATCATTTCTTATCCATCCAGTCCTCAGAATATTGTAAATAGATATTACTGTAAATATGTATATAAATTATTAGATCGTTCTTAATTATTTTTATTTTTAATTTTTTATTATTATGTAATTTAAATTAGAAAGTAACTTATAATTTCTTTTATTATTTTTAATTTATTTTGACTATTTAATTAAACTATATTCTTGTTTATGTATCTGTGAGGCTCCTTAGCCCACCTTTTTGTCTCTCTGTATTGTTCTATTTTATTTATTTAGATCCTAGAATAAATAAAGCATTATTATTATTATTACTTTCCGTTCCCCCTAATAATATCGATATTGAGTCTTCGATACTCGGATTGTTTATAGCGATGACATAATTTTAGAAGTTATGAATGAATCTAAATACCTTATGCCGTTTCCAGCCAACAATAATCAATGAACTACTGCTGAAGACTGTTTTCATTCAACACTCGGAACACGAAAGCGCCACCGTTCTGTTGTACCATTCTTCCAACACTGATCCGAAAACATTGGCACTGCATCCTCGATCTGACGGAACACAGATACACTTCCTGACCTTGTATATTGCGCTGTTTGTAAACAATGGTTGTCTATTTGCAGTGTATCTTCTTCCTATTGCGAAACATTTCCACGTGAATTTATATAGTTTTTTTTTTTTTAGTTCCTGCGTTATTCGTCTAATTCTAGGTCAGGCGTTCATCGGAGCAATGCCACCTTCGTCACATGTTTCAATGATGTTTAATTGTTTCTACTACGCATCGAATTGATCAATTGAGCAATTTATATCAATATTATTGTTTTTGTGACTCATGTTTGTTTCATTCGTAGTTAACTCGCTACTCCAACTTTGTCATTTAGGTCCTGGCAGGTACTAAAGACTCATGAACACTCATTTCCTTTCCACTTGAATCGTAAGATAATTTAATAACTAATTCGAAAAAAAGGATGGCCATCAAAATATTGGGCCTTGTGGCATGACTTTTATCCCAAAAATGTTAAAATAATAAAGTTGTATAGCCGAAATAGTTCAATTTCTATATATATATATATATATATATATATATATATATATATATATATATATATATATATATAATAATAATAAAAAGGCTTAGCGAACCCGAAGGTTCGATGCCGACACCACCAATCGCTTATTGCACACTTCCCTCCACCGTTCGCCGTCCAAACCCAGTCCCTTCAGATCAGCTTTAATGCAATCTTCCCACCTTCGCTTCGATCTACCCCTCGGACGCTTACCATTCGGCACAGCAAATATTAACCTTTTAGGAATTCTCTCGTTACTAAGCCCAACAACTTTACAAGCCCATTTGATTCGCCGCGATGAAATTACCTCAATTATATTACCCGGATACAGTTCACGCAATTCAGCGTTGTGTAACCGTCTGAACTCTCCGGTTAACTCATCCTTCTTCGGTCCGAATATTCTACGCAATACTTTATTTTCAAAAACCTTAAGACGCTGCTCATCCCTTAATGTAAGCGGCCAAGTTTCGCACCCATAAAGAACTGTAGGCAAGATAATTGTTTTATAGATTCTAATTTTTAAGTTCCGGGACAAGAGGCGCGAACTAAGTAGTTTTGTCACAGAAAAATAACAAGCATTCCCCGCCTTCAGTCTAACCTTAATCTCTTCTTCAATTTCGTTTTTTCTAGTTATCGTAGAACCTAGATACCTTAACTTATCTACCTGTTCAAACATATTACCATCTATATCGATATCACCAGTAGTATCGCCATTTATATATATATATAGTAAAATAAAAGTCTATATGTGTATGTATGTTTATGCGTGTGTGTTAACAGTCTAGTTCGAAAGCGAAAAGTCGTACGGAAGTGAAATTGTATATTTAAGGTTTTTAAATGCTAGAGATGTTACCGAAACCTTTTCGTCAAACTCGGCTAACCAGAAGTGGCACTTTATATATTTGACTAAGCACATTTTTACGATTGTCTCGAAAATCGCTCTAAATATTTTGATTTAATTCAACATATCAGTGTAAAATTAAGTAGTTTTAAAAAAAAATGTGGTTATTATTCAGATTGACGTTCTCTAACAGGGCTTAAATGGCTAAGTTTCAATATTAACTTAAACTAATGTTCCTTTGATTATTTTTATATGAAACAATTGACCATTTCACAATAATTTATAATATAAAAGAAAGAATTTGATATATAACTAAAGGAGAAATAAGATATCGTAACGGAGAATAATTGTAATTTAGGAACCAAAGGAAGATTAGAACAGGCTTCCATACGTATCATGAGATTAATATAACACGGACTCCGGCAATATTCTATAAGTATACATATGTGATTTTCATAAATGCTATTGTTGGTATTATTTAATATTTAATTGTATTGATTACAGCGATATCAGCGAAATATAAAAATTTATTTTAGTTGCTTGGCAATAATAACTTCCAATTATTAACAATTCGGGTATATTTTTAACGTTACATGTTAACAGGCTAGTTTACGTTTCGGGACCTTTTATTCCCATCTTCAGAACTGCAATTCCAATACTCTTGTGGATGCAAGGCTTAATTTTAATAATAATAATAATGTGCTCCATCGTCAATTTTCTAATCTATGTTCTAAAATTTATCATCTAGAGCAACATCCTCCTTTTGGGTTCGGGCAGAAACCCAATTATTGGTCAAAAGGAGGATGTTGCTCTAGATGATAAATTTTAGAACATAAATTAGAAAATTGACGATGGAGCACATTATTATTATTATTAAAATTAAGCCTTGCATCCACAAGAGTATTGGAATTGCAGTTCTGAAGATGGGAATAAAAGGTCCCGAAACGTAAACTAGGCTGTTAACATGTAACGTTAAAAATACACTCGCATTGTTAATAATTGGAAGTTATTATTGCCAAGAAACTAAATTAAATTGACAACTTCCCGGGAAAAAAAGAAAAAAGAATAAAAATTTATATATATCAGGGTACTTAGAGAAATAAAAATAACCACAATGAAATGTAAATAAATATAGAGTCTATAATTTTTACTTTTAATTCTCCTTTGCCTGAAAATACTTATTTTTGATAAGAAGAGGGTGGCAAGTGAAAGTTGTGTGATGCGCTCACCGCACCAGATTTTTTTTCTCAATTTGTTGATCAATTATCTTATGATTCAAGTGGAAAGCAAGTTGGTATTTTGGAGTTTTTAGTGCATCATCAAATCTGTAAATTTAATGTGAAAGCATCCTATATCAGAGAATTTTTGTAGATTACTATAAGATGAAGATTTTCAAGTTTCAGTTGGATGCTAATAATTCGATAAAAAATGGTCTGTACTACGGACTTTGTAGGAAGTGCATTAAATTTTTGTAAAATCATTAAAATGGTATATACATTAGTAGATGTTTTCCTCGTCAATTTGGTTTATAATAGATAAATGTTAAACCAAAAATGTTTTCTCTCTGTAGCATGTATTATATTTAAGGTGTATTATCGCTTTGGATTCTCATAAAGTTTTAGTTATCATGAATATATTGGCAATGGAACGGAATGCAATGCGGCAGATATTAATGTCAACTCATTGTTTACTGGGTGGCTATATTAATCTCTAGAGTCTGTTTACCTTTCCTAAAATAGTTCTCCCTGCAATATTTCGCCATCTTTGCAGTTTTTTTCTATCTAGGAGGTCTATGGCCACGAGGTTTGAACAGATTGAACAGGCAAGTTCCTAAACTCATCGATGTAACAGTAGGCAGCTTCCTAAATTCATCACTAAGATCATCGATGAGCATAGAAAATTCATCAATGAATTAACACTTAGATTAGTAACGTACTCTATTTAGTGGTAGAGGTTAAATAAAAAATAAAAAACAATTATATATAGAATATGTGTTGAGTTTCTTCTTTATATTCTTTATCTCTTACGGGAAAAATTAAGTATGAGAATTATTTCATAAAATTTTTAAATTTACTTCAAATTATTCTCTAAATAAAAATAGTGAATGTTTTCGTATTTATAATGTTTTGGAATCTTTATTTATTATTTCTCAAGGTGTTTTTTTGCCACTTCGCCATATCTTAGTCAATTTTTAATCAAATCAGATTGAACCCTCATTTTGAAGATCTTCATTTCCGTTACGTCACTCTGAAATTTCAGGAAAAAAGTTATGATGGGAAAGAAAATTTATATGCGAAGAACTCAAAAAGTATATATATATATTTTCCCCGATTTTACCTATGATTATTTTAAAAATTATTATATTATTTACAAGACAAAAATTAAATCATAGAAATCGATTTGATATTTGAAACAATTTGTACAGACAATGGAGCAATGTAGATCCAAATATTTTTTAAAGAAAAAATTGAGTTGAAATTTTCATTTCACACCTTAATTTCTTAGCAACTGAAAAATATCAAAGTTTTCATCAAATTAGAGCACAAGCTCTCCTCTCCTCGATTTTTTTTTTTTCAAAAATTACAAATAGTGTAATAACTTCAACATGCTTCCGCCTATCCACACGAACATTAGTTGTGATTTAGGGCCGCCTAAACTACAAGAAATTGCACGGACCGAAACCCCCTAAGCATATTAGAACTGAAAATATAAAATAAAAACGCTGCAAATTATTAAGCAATGGTTTATTTTTCCAAACAATTATATATCAAAAGTAACTCTACTTTTCTTGTATCATAAAGGAAAATAAAAGCTGATTTATTCATGATGAGGGCTCAGTTTGTTTTGTTTTCAATATTAGTAATTTACTAAGAAAAATTGCTTCAATTATAAGCTTTGCAGTAGAACACATAAAAAATAATTTAGAACACCATCCATATCTTTCCTGTGAATTGCCGGAGTTTGACAATTTTTTTAGGATATTTCATAAACTTCTAAATAACCATTGTAACATCAACAAAAAAGTTTGTACTCATTGAGTTATTTGGAAAATTAATTTATTATTTTTAACTTATTTTTTAATTCTTCAATCCTACTTTCTTAATAGATTTTTCTGTACTTCCGTAGACTCTTCTGTATCTTCCTTCTTTCCCCAACACAAAGGCGTACCACAAGGTAGCGTCTTAAGCCCAATCCTCTATTCTATATACACTTCTGATATCCCTGAGCACCCTAATACCACCATTTATTGCTTCGCTGACGACACTGCTATTCTATCTTCACACAAAAATCCTACTATCGCATCAATTGCCCTACAAAACCATCTTCATTCTCTTGAAAAGTGGTTTGAAAACTGGAGAATCAAAATTAATAGTACAAAATCCACCCACATTAGTTTCTCTCTTAGGGAAGCCTCATATCCACCCATAACGATTGCCAATAATCCAGTGCCTTCAAAGAACTATGTACGGTACCTTGGACTCTACTTAGACAAAAGGCTTACTTGGAACATACATACGAAATTAAAAAGACAAGAACTTACTAGACGATATAGCCAACTTTCACATCTTCTGGACTACAGATCTTCACTTAACTTACGAAACAAGCGACTTATCTACAACACCTTACTGAGACCAATATGGACATATGGAGCAGAACTTTGGGGTTCAGCAAAACAAACACACATAAACAAAATACAAACAGCACAATCAAAAATTATACGAAAAATTGTTAACGCACCTTGGTACATTTCAAACACTACTATACATAACGACTTAAACATCCCAACAGTAAAATCCTACATCCACGACAAATACACTACATTTCATTCTTCAACCCAAAATCACTCCAATCCTCTGGTTCTTTCTATCT